ACTGAACAAGCCAGTACCTGCCGCATACGTTGCTCAAGTTGCATTGACTGACAGTCTACACAGGGTTTGGTACTTCGGTACTGACAGTCTGTGCAGGGTTCCATACTTCACACTTTAACAACACAACCGTTCAATGCTAAGGCTTCCCGCCAAAATGGAACTGTAGAGGAGAGCCTACTGAACAAGCCAGTACCTGCCGCATACGTTGCTCAAGTTGCATTGACTGACAGTCTACACAGGGTTTGGTACTTCGGTACTGACAGTCTGTGCAGGGTTCCATACTTCACACTTTAACAACACAACCGTTCAATGCGAAGGCTTCCTGCCAAAATGGAACTGTAGAGGAGAGTCTACTGAACAAGCCAGTACCTGCCGCATATGTTGCTTAAGTTGCATTGACTGACAGTCTACACAGGGTTTGGTACTTCGGTACTGACAGTCTGTGCAGGGTTCCATACTTCACACTTTAACAACACAACCGTTCAATGCGAAGGCTTCCTGCCAAAATGGAACTGTAGAGGAGAGTCTACTGAACAAGCCAGTACCTGCCGCATATGTTGCTTAAGTTGCATTGACTGACAGTGTTTGCAGAATTCCATACTTCGCACTTTAACAACACAACCGTTCAATGCTAAGGCTTCCTGCCAAAATGGAACTGTAGAGGAGAGTCTACTGAACAAGCCAGTACCTGCCGCATACGTTGCTTAAGTCGCATTGACCGACCGTCTGCGCAGGGTTCCATACTTCACTTTAACAACACAACTGTTCAATGCTAAGGCTTCCTGCCAAAATGGAACTGTAGAGGAGAGTCTACTGAACAAGCCAGTACCTGCCGCATACGTTGCTTAAGTCGCATCGACTGACAGTCTGCGCAGGGTTCCATACTTCACACTTTAACAACTCAACCATTTAATGCTAAGGCTTCCCACCAAAATGGAACTGTAGAGGAGAGTCTACTGAACAAGCTGCATACGTTGCTTAAGTCGCATCGACTGACAGTCTACATAGGGTTCGGTACTTTGGTGCTGACAGTCTGCGCAGGGTTCCATACTTTGCACTTTAACAACACAACCGTTCAATGTGAAGGCTTTCTGCCAAAATGGAACTGTAGAGGAGAGTCTACTGAACAAGCCAGTACCTGCCACATGACAGTACTGCCATCTGTTGAGGAGTTACGAAGGTGGAGGCATTACTTGTCATTCAACCCTCGTAATAACCCTCAAGGTTAAGCCTTGAAACTTCACAGCTGTTTTGCCAGACAGCAGCAGAAATAGAAACTGCAACCCCGTATTATTTTATGGGAAAGTTAAGCTAAAGCTATGGTTTAAAGGAGTCTTAAGTTATTGTTGTAACAGGCTATAACGATGAATGCTAGTATTAAGTATTAATTATTACAATATAATAGACTCTTTTCTGGAATGTGATATTTAGTTAATTAGCTCAGGATTGCTTACATACAGTAGTTACAAGAGACAAATAAGGTTTATTGGGTGGTAAATAGAAGCTAAGAGCTTTCCTTTCCTTTCTTCTCTCTCTTTCTCTCTCTCTTTGCCATTCTTTCTTCTTTCTATTCATTGTTAACTATTCTGGAATAATATCATCTTTTCTGGAATTCTGTCCTTTTGAAACATCCCTACTCCATATAGGCAATCATCCAAGTCAACAGAAGGTTAAAACAATCAACTGATCAAAACAGGAAACGGAAATAGAAAGAGAATCTACAAAATACACACAACCTCTAACTATCCATGACTGCCAAAATTTTATATACAAGGGTTGAATGAAAAGTAATGCCTCCACTTTCATTACTTAGGTTTGGATGGGAATATTTTAATAAATCAAACGCAGAAATAATCCTTAGAATGGGCTCTTTAACTCCCACTATTCACTTTTCAACATAATCACCAGATAATTGGATGCATTTCTGCCAACGATGAACAAGTTTTCTGAAGCCGTCACAGAAGAAGTCGACGCTCTCTTTTCGCAACCAGCGTCTCACAGTTCTCTCAACATCTTCATCAGAAGCTTAAGGATGTCCCTGCAGATCTTATTTCATGATCGGGAACAGATGGAAGTCAGACGGTGCTAAATCTGGACTGTATGGAGGATGCCGTACGGTGGTGAGATCCAGTCTCTGAAATTTCAAGCCTGCGCGCTTTCATTTCAGGCGTCCGCAGCCTAGGTCCCCATTGTGCACAGATCTTCCGATAACCAACAAAGCAATAATGTGACCCACACATTCTTGTGAAATACTGATTATGCTTGAAATTTCTCTCTGAGTGATACGACAATCATCCTGCATCAAGATATCCATCTGCCTACCCTGGATGGCGAGGCGCTACGCCCGTCATCATTGGTCAAGAGTCTGGGAGTCCTTTTGGACCCTCTGCTGAGGATGGAGGCCCAGGTCTCTTTCCGCCGTGAGCAGAACCGCCTTCTCTCACCTGCATCAGGCTAGACGGCTGGCCCCCTCCCTGTCCAGGGACAACCGGGCTACGGGGATCCAGGCCACGGTCATCTCAAGACTAGACTACTGTCACGCCCTCTACATTGGCCTTCCTCTGTCGGTGATCCGGAAGCTCAAGTTGGTACAAAATGCAGCTGCTCGGCTTCTTGCGGGAATTCTGATGAGATGCCACATCACACCAATCTTACTACAGCTGCATTGGTTACCAATTGAGCACCGGATCAACAAGCCAGTACCTGCCACATACATTGCTTAAGTTGCATTGACTGACAGTCTGTGCAGGGTTCCATACTTCGCAATTTAACAATGCAACCATTCAATGCTAAGGCTTCCTTCCAAAATGGAACTGTAGAGGAGAGTCTACTAAACAAGCCAGTACCTGCAGCATACCAGTACTGACATCTGTTGAGGAGTTATGATGGTGGAGGCATTACTTTTCATTCAACCCTCGTAAAGAGGAACGTTTTTCATGGATAGAGAATTGACAACTGAATAAATCCCTAACAAATAAAGCTGTCCACATTCCTATTATTATTTCTGTAAGAAGCCACACTCTCTCGGTTTCTGAGAAAGGCAAAGGCAAACCCCACCTGAATAAATATTGCCAAGGAAAACCTGTGATAGGGTTGGAAGTGACTTGAAGTCCATAACGAAGACCTGTTTTAGTTCCAGACTCAATCACACTTTAGGAGCAGACCCACTGAAATCAGTGTGACTCCCATTGCTAATGACTTTCCATGAGTTTCCTTAAGCAAGCAATGCTTTTGATGGGTCCATTATTGAATTTCCAGCCATCTGGGATGCATTCTGATGAAAGACATGATAGAGATGCATGAAATGAGCCGGTTCACCTTGCTAACAACTCTCACCATGAAACCAAACGTGGTCATAAACAGTTTGTTGATAAAAGCAAGCAGATATAAAAAGGGGGAAAGGCACCATAGAAAATGGAAATAAAAATCCAAAAGTCAATGAAGGAAACAAGTCCCAAAGGCAATTGGTAAAACCAGGAAACAGAGATCAAAACATGAATGAGGAACAAAACATGAGCATGAATCCAAAGGTATATACAAAGAACAGGGATCAAAACATGATCATGAATCTTGTGTCTTAAATGAAGGCCTGAGCCTTCATTTCCTCCAAAAGTGATGTTGCTTGATCTAAAATCAAGCAACATCACTTGCACCAATGCAAGCGATGCTTGCACCAGGATAGCTGCACCGGGTCCCAGTGCAAACGTCACTTCCACCGGGACAGCTGAACCGGGACTGTGGGACAGCTGGCTGGGAGCCAGCTGCATTAAGATCACTACAGACCAAAAAGTCATGAGTTCGAAGCCAACCTGGATCGAAGTGAGCTTCCGACCATTGTGTGTAGCTTGCTGTCGACCTTTGCAACCCAAAAGAAAGTTGCATCTGTCAAGTAGGAAATTTAGGTACCGCTTATGTTGGGAGGCTAATTTAACTAATTTCCAACGCCATAAAATCTCCAGCAAGCAAGTAAAAAAGAATGAGGAAGTACTCCATCAGTGTCTCAAATGGACAGTGAAGCGACAACTCCTCTGGTGGCCAGAATACCCTCATGAAAGCTGAAAAGTTAAATAGCCTCTGTGTGTCTGTTTATATATGTTGTGTCTATGGCATTGAATGTTCTGTTGATGCTGTTTGCAATTTATAATGTAGATTTCAAAGTATGTATGTATGTTTAAAATGCAGTAGCTATGTGCCGAGTGTATTGTATTCCTGTGTGGAAAGAGTTAACTGAACCATGGAGGGAATGCCATTCCTATAGAGGTCATAAATCGAGTGGATAGAACAAATGGACGCAGCGTCATGCATCGTATATCATACATTACTCTGGAATGCAAGAGGTGTGGACTAGTACTGATAACAGCTAGTGTGTTTGCAATGTTACGATTGGACTATAAAGAAGCAAGTTTACGATGTGTTGAGCGTTAAGTAGCTTCTAATGTATATAGCTGGAAAATAAAGTTGTTTCTAGCCTAAGGTGGCTTTGATTGATGTGTTTCTTGCTGTGCTGCCGATGTCAGACATGTTTGCCATGTATATGTGCATTCTAATCTGCCCTGAGTTCCCTGCGGGGTGAGAAGGGTGGAATATCAATACTGTAAATAAGTAAATAAATAAATAAATAAAATCCCAACTGCTCTCTCACTAAGTTAAGGACTTCCAAACATGGACACATACCATTGACCTTGAGAGGCTTGCTTCTGCCTCTCCTCACAGATTTTTTTCTGATGTCCTGCACCTGAAATTCTGCTTCCTCCGAAGCAGTTTGGTATCTCTGTCTAAGCCAGCTACTCCCTCGAATAGAGCTAATGTCCAAAACAATTTCACTTTCACACTCTGTCTCAGCAACAGCATCTTGCTCCAAAACTCCCTCCGTTCCCTCAGCAACAGAACCATCTTGCTCCAAAGCCCTCTTTGTTTGCTTCCTTACAGAACCATCAGGCCCTACAGAACCCCCAAACCCCTCATCCCCATCTGGCTGAACCACAACAGTAAGCGCGTACCTGGGGAGATGAAAAACGTCCGCCATAATTTCTTGTCACGAGTAACATCCCTGATTTCTCTGGTCATGTTAACCAATCTGCCCGCAACAGGTGGCACTCGGCGAAAGTCCAGGATTCTAAAAGAAAAAAGAAAGAAAGATGCCATGGAAATCCTATGGACCTTAAACATCTGCTCGGGAGAACTGGGAAATCTATGGAGACAAATAAGGTTTGCAGAAGCAGGCAATATAGTCTCAGTCCTGAAAGCGGCCAAGCGAAATAAGGGACGGGCATGCCCCTTATGTTATGAATAACTTTTCAATAATTTCAAAGCATAGGTTCTGTTTATTGCAATTTTCTAGTAAGAGAAAGGGTATCAGAACTCTTAGAGAACAATATTTAGACAAAGAATGACATTGCACATACAGACATACAGATTCTATGCAACCAGATTCACAACCTATAGTTATCTTGGCCAAAAAAGGGGAAATACATTTTCACTCAGCATTCACCTTCACGTATAGAAACATTCATCCACCACCATGCATCAGTCACCATTTCACCATTCTTCTGCAGTGAAGAACATCTCTTAAGGCAGAGTTGCTTCCTTGCAAATCTGCCAATGCATAGTTCCAAAACTTCTAAAACACCAAAATGCATCCTCTTTTCTCGAGAACATTACTCCAAAAAGGAGGCAAATGACCAAACTGCGTTCCATTGCAGATCTACCACTCTCAAGGTACACTCTCTCTCTCCTTCCCAATGGAGCAGAATATAGTGGGTGAACACTTCCTCTGCCTGTCACACTTTTTGGAATGTTAGAAGGTCTGTTATACAGCAATATTTCACTGATGTCGTCTCTAAGTTGCAAATTACTGATAGATGTCTTCCATCCTGAAACATCCTGGCTCCATCTCAGTTTCCTGACAGATGTTGACTCTTCTTGTTTGGTGTTAGCAAACTCAATGCTTGTGTTGATTTCCTTCTTAACGTAACGAATCTTGTAAACATTTCCTTAGAATCATAAAATCATAGAATCAAAGAGTTGGAAGAGACCTCCTGGGCAATCACCCAGTCCAACCCCATTCTTCCAAGAAGCAGGAATATTGCATTCAAATCACCCCTGACAGATGGCCATCCAGCCTCTGTTTAAAAGCTTCCAAAGAAGGAGCCTCCACCACACTCCGGGGCAGAGAGTTCCACTGCTGAATGGCTCTCACAGTCAGGAAGTTCTTCCTCATGTTCAGATGGGATCTCCTCTCTTGTAGTTTGAAGCCATTGTTCCCTTGCGTCCTAGTCTCCAAGGAAGCAGAAAACAAGCTTGCTCCCTCCTCCCTGTGGCTTCTCTCACATATTTATACATGGCTATCATTCCTCTCAGCTCCTTCTCTTCTTCAGGCTAACATGCCCAGCTCTTAAGCCGCTCTCATAGGGCTTGTTCTCCAGACCCTTGATAGTTGCCCTCCTCTGGACACATTCCAGCTTGTCAATATCTCTCTTGAATTGTGGTGCCCAGAATTGGACACAATATTCCAGGTGTGGTCTAACCAAAGCAGAATAGAGGGGTAGCATTACTTCCCTAGATCTAGACACTATGCTCCTCTTGATGCAGGCCAAAATCCCATTGGCTTTTTTTGCCACCACATCACATTCCTGGCTCATGTTTAACTTGTTGTCCACGAGGACTCCAAGATCTTTTTCACACGTCCTGCTCTCGAGCCAGGCCTCATTGTCCCCCATTCTGTCTCTTTGAATTTCGTTTTTTTCTGCCAAAGTGGAGTATCTTGCATTTGTCACTGTTGAATTTCATTTTGTTAGTTTTGGCCTTATCTTAAAGGAGCCATTGTTTCTGAGAAACAGATGTAAACACATTGTTTTCCCCCAAAAGTTCATCAAGTCAGCTCGATGAAGTTAATCATTGTGACAGTTCTCATCAATGTCAGCAGTTCAGCAACTTTTAATTACAGTTCAGCAAGAAGGCCTCAATATTTAGGATGGCATCTCCAGAATTATTAGCTCTCATTCATTCACCTTTCCAACAATTCCATTCATACGCATACATATCAAATCCACATTTATCAAATCTGCACATCATATTTTTGTGTTACTAACCTGTCCAGGTGAAACGCTGCGATTTCAGCATTATGTCTTTCATAGTCGGAGAAATAAAAAAAGTCTGGCGGAGTTTCCTGTTCTCTCGTTTGTCTGTAAGAAAGAGAAGAGGGAAAAGCTTACTTTGTTTCTTTGAATGGCTTTCCAGAAAAACCATCAAGTGCCTACAGCTGTCCACATCTGTCTCAATGCATGCTGTTTATACCAGGAGGTGGGGACATTTATTCTCCAGCTGTTTTGGTTTACTGGATTCTTTACCACTGCCCATGCTTGGTGGAGATTTTGGGAATTTACGTTCCAAACATCTCTGGGGAGAAAGGTTCTCCACCTCTAACTTACATCAATGACAAGCCAGGTCAGACATGGGCACACTTGGGCCCTCCAGGTGTTTTGGATTTCAATTCCCACAATTCCTTCAGAACTTGGTCAACATCCTTCAGTACATGGACGACATACTCCTAGCACAGGCATGGGTCAACTTGGGCTGTCCAGGTGTTTTGGACTTCAACTCCCACAATTCCTTCAGAACTTGGTCAACATTTTTCAGTATGTAGATGACATACCCATAGCACAGGCATGGGCCAAGTTGGTCTTTCAAGGTGTTTTGGACTTCAACTCCCACAATTCCTTCAGAACTTGGTCAACATCTTTCAGTACATGGATGACATACCCATAGCACAGGCATGGGTCAACTTGGGCCGTCCAAGTGTTTTGGACTTCAACTCCCACAATTCCTTCAGAACTTGGTCAACATCCTTCAATACATGGACGACATACTCCTAGCACAGGCATGGGTCAACTTGGGCTGTCCAAGTGTTTTGGACTTCAACTCCCACATTTCCTTCAGAACTTGGTCAACATCTTTCAGTACATGGATGACATACTCATAACACAGGCATGGGCCAACTTGGACCTTCCCTCCAGGTGTTTTGGACTTCAACTCCCACAATTCCTAACAGGCCCCTCCTTACTTTTCTCTTTCCTTTCTGCTTAAATGGCTGAGGATTATTTCCACTCCGGTGGGAAGCTTCTGAGCAGGAAACAGGGGGGATGTTTCCATTTGTGGGGTGCCACAATCATAATTGTGAATACACAACCCTAACAAGGTCACAAGGCTAATGTAATTGCCTAACTGGATGCCAGCCGCTGGTTTCTAAGCCGAAAAGGGGAGTCAGCGACTGATGTAACAAGATCCATTTCATCTTTCTAAACAGCTCATTAAGAGCAGTCAGAGAGACTGGCGCGTTATTGAATGATTATTAAGTGCAATTATAACATTTCCCAAAGTCTTCCCATTTCAACTTTAGCAACTGCGGGGCTTCAGCGTGACGTATCATTTTCCTTTGAACAACACTCAAGATGTCTCTATTTCCGAGGAGACAAAAGAGCGATCACCTGCCAGGCTCCCCAGAAGATCCAAAAGGTCAAGTGTGCAAAGCTACAAAAGAATCCGTCAGTTCTCCCTTCCACTCAAACAAGGGCAGGAGGGGAAAATGTGTCAATTTAACAGTCAAGATGCTCCGTAGAAGAAGGAAATCTCGGCAGCTACAGACACTGAGAGATCCTTCTTATGCCTGGCACAATAAGAGCAAAGCTAGGACGGAGGAAAATCTTTGCCATTTATTTCCCTCATTATCGCAAGACAATTGTGCACTTTTCAAAGAATGTTTGGGGTTTGAGACATATTTTTTCCTGTGTAAAACACTATTCTCTGTGCAGGAAACCTGTTTTTGACATAGATGTGTCGTAGGCTTGGGCGGTTTCGTTCGTTAATTTTGTAATTCGTTATTAATTCGTATTCAAATTAGCTTACGATCCAATATTGAGCCATGCAGGAATAGTGTGAGGAGTAAATTAGATTCAAAACAATTTTTTCAATTTATTTCGTAATTTATTTGTCGTGTCAGAACAACCAGTCTAACAGAACAAAGCAAACAAACAGAAAATTCGTAATTATTTCGTAATTATTTTGTAATTGTTTCATAATTATTTTGTAATTATTTTGTAATTATTTCGTAATTATTTTGTAATTATTTCGTAATATTTTCGCATGTCTGGTGCAAGTTTTATAGTTGTTGTTTGTTTTATCACACCAACAGTCAACAACAGAGGGAGAGGGAAGCTTCAGAAATTCCCCCTGTCCCATTTGGAGGGTTTTTTAGCATATTGCGCAATCGCGTCCGCCATTAACAAATCGATTCGTAATTTTACGAAATTTCGTATATTTCGAACTTTTTTAAAGGAAAATTTTGGAATTCTTTAAAAAAACGAAACGCAAGGGCCCCCCTAAAAACAAAACGACTTTAGAACCAAATTTTTCCGTGGTTACCCAAGCCTAATGTGTCGTTTTGTTGTTTTCTGAGCAAAAAAATATATGCAATTTTCTACGCAAAATCCACCCTATGTTTCTTTTTGTATAAAATCCCACCAAATTATAGAGACCATTCTAAAATGTTTTCCCTTTGTGCCATCGTGCCTGGGGGCTATAAGTCTTAGTGAAAGAGGCATGGACGTGGCATCTTTCCCCAGGGGATTGCTTCTTGCCCTCCTATAGGAAACTGGAACTCCCAAAGACCAAAACACAATAGATAACTCGAAATGGTATTTATTGTTCACAATGAGTTATCTTTCTCAGGCATAAGCTTGATGTTTCAACAGGGATAAAGGAAATATACTTTACAATCCCTGAAGTCCAAGGAGTTTGCAGCTGAGAAGCTTTTCCTGTTTCCTCTTTCCTCAATGGCTGTGAATATCGGAATAAACACAACCCCAGTCCAATGGCCTATGTTGAAGGGACAAGACCTTCCTCTGGTGCCAAAAGAACTGGTTTGAAGGCGCTTGGGTCTCCTCAATGTTGTCCAGGATGATCTGGACATAAAGCATGAGTCCCAAGGGTAAAAAACCTTAGAATTGGTGCTGAGAGATAATTTAAGCAGGGGCTTTTAGAGCCAAGTCTCTTACTCACGTCCATCCAATAGAAACTCTGATGGTAGAATGAAAAAGGGAAGCACTCCCCTCCTACAGGAAGAGGTGGAGCCAAACAATTGAGTTTGAGAAAGCAATTCAACTGGTGCAAACAACACTAATTGACAGCTATAAATAACCAATCAATCCAACTATACATAAGCAGGGTAAAAAGGCAGGATTAAGCATGATACAACAGTTTAAATCTTGCAACTAACAGTTCTACACATAGGTGGCACTACTCGCGCCGTCACACCCTTCTTCTCACAAAGTTCAAAGGTACTTCCCATTCCTTAACAAGGTTGTTGATTAGAAGCTTCCCACCGGAGTGGAAATCATCTATCGGACAGATGGCAAGCTATTTAACCTCAGCAGACTGAAGGCCAAAGCCAAGGTTACAACAACATCTGTTATAGAACTCCAATATGCTAATGACGTCATCTGTGCGCATTCAGAAGAAGACCTACAAGCTACTCTAAACACCTTCGCAGAAGCATACGAGCAGCTTGGCCTGTCATTAAATATTGAGAAATCCAAAGTGGCCTAACCAGCAGTCATTCACCAATCCCTCTCCAATGCCAGAGATACAGCTTAATGGTGTAGCATTAGAAAATGTTAACCATTTCCGCTCCCTTGGCAGCCACCTCTCCACCAAAGTCAACATTGACACTGAAATACAACACCGCCTGAGCTCTGCGAGTGCAGCTTTTTTCTGAATGAAGCAGAGAGTGTTTGAGGACCAGGACATCCGTAGGGAGACCAAGGTGCTTGTTTATAGAGCTATTGTCCTCCCAGCCCTGCTCTATGCCTGCAAAACGTGGACTGTCTACAAACGTCACATGCAAATCTTGGAACGATTCCAGCAGCACTTCCTGCAAATCTCTTGGGAAGACAAGCAGACAAGCGTCGGCGTGCTGGAAGAAGCAAAGACCACCAGCATTGAAGCCATGGTCCTCCGCCATCAACTCCGCTGGACCGGCCACGTTGTCTGGATGCCCGACCATCATCTCCCAAAGCAGGTGCTCTACTCTGAACTCAAGAATAGAAAACGGAATGTTGGTGGACAGGAAAAGAGATTGAAAGATGGGCTCAAAGCCAATCTTAAAAACTCTGGCAAAGACATTAAGAACTGTGAAGCCCTGGCCCTTGAGTGCTCCAGCTGGAGGTCAGCTGTGACCAGCAGTGCTGTAGAATTTGAAGAGGCATGAATGGAGGGCAAAAGAGAGGAACGTGCCAAGAGGAAGAAGGCACGTCAAGCCAACCCCGACTGAGACCACCTCCCACCTGGAAACCGATGCCCTCACTGCGGGAGAAGATGCAGATCAATAATAGGGCTCCACAGTCACCTACGGACCCACTCTGGAGGATTGTCCTACTCGGACAATGAGAGATCGCCTAAGTAAGTAAGTACCGAGCACAATTCAAAGTGCTGGCTTTATAGGCTAAAACCAACACTTTGAATTGGACTCGGAGCTAGTGGAGCTGGCATAGCAGGGTGGTGGTATGCTCCCACGTAGAGCGCATTGCAGTAATCTATTCGGGATGTAACCACCGTGGACCACCGTGGCCAGATCAGACTTTCCAAGATATGGGTGCAGCTGGTGCACGAGTTTTAATTTTGCCCTGTAAACTGCCTTGAGTCACCTGCAAGCTCTGAGGATTACCTGGGAAGGAATCCCACGGGAGCATTGCAGCGCACCCAAATCCCTGGGAGTCACTCTGGATAATCCTCTGACCTACAAGAAGCACTGCCTGAACATCAAGCAAAAAGTGGGTGCTAGAAACAATATCATACGAAAGCTGACTGGCACAACCTGGGGATCACAACCAGACACAGTGAAGACATCTGCCCTTGCGCTATGCTACTCTGCTGCTATGCATGCCCAGTGTGGAAAACACCTCACCACGCTAAAACAGTGGATGTGGCTCTTAATGAGACATGCCGCATTATCAAGGGGTGGCTGCGCCCTACACCACTGGAGAAACTACACCACCTGACATCCAAGGGGAAGGAGCAACCAATAGTGAAAGGACCAAGGCAGTGACATCTCCAGCTCATCCCTTTGGGTATCAGCCAGCATGTCAATGACTTAAATCAAGAAATAGTTTTCTAAGATCTACAGAGACAC